AAGAAAAAGAAAAAGAATGAGAATGAGAATGAGAAAAAAATGGGTGCTAAACGAGGGCTTAATGTTTGACTAGGTTATTGGTTGTAGGATGGATAATACAGGGATTTGGAACTTGTTATTGTATTTGTAATGGAAACATAATATTTTATTTTGAATCTTTTGTATTTTTGAGTTACTACTATTTCGAAACTAATATGTAAGTCATTTTGGTTGATTATATTCTGGTCCACTTGTTTGACAATGAAGATCTTGAATTTCAAGAGAAACTTTTATGCTTTTTGATGCCTTGCGTTGGATGCAACTGAGTAAATGGAGGGTTAATCAAAGTTTATGAATGGTTAATATTTGTCGGACTTTCTGTAGTTTACGTGGAAACATTAAATTCAGATAGGAGCCACAAAATTTCTAGAACTCCCTGCTTTTATTAGTGTAACGTCTGATGGTGCTTTGGGAAGTTGATAAGGTAGATATATAGACAACAAATGCATTCCATCAGTCATTGACAAAAAACAGCCTTAGCATTACTATTTCTTCTACAACTGAAATGTTCTGCTCACCGTCCGAATAAAATACAACCGAAAGTTAACATATATATCAGTAGCACTGTCCAAAAGTTAACATAAACATAAGTTAACATATACATAAGTAATATCCGTAAGAAAATTTCAGTGCTACTACAACTACCACTATCCAAAAGTTAACGGCTGAGCATCTAAGTTAACACAAGTAATATCACAAACATAAACATCAATTCTACTCCCTACGCTTTCCCTTTTCCCTTCTGAGTAGTTATTTTGAATGAGATCTCCACATCCTCTTCTTCTATCTTTAATTAGGCAACACTTTTCAGCAGGTCGTCAATAGGCGCTTTAGCTTGATTTCGAGACGTTCCTACGCTGCTTGATTGCGTTCTATCACAAAAATCACTACACTGTCCTTCAAATGGCAAGGCTTTCTTCTTCCAAGACTTCACGTCATTCCAGTCGAAATACCTACAATCTTTAGTACAACACAAGAATATTTGGCCTATGTTTGCTGTCTTCTTCTCCACCTCCATCATTTTTACAATTCCCTGAACATAGTTTGGACATTGTTGTTTTTTTGGACAGTCATACAATTGATGCCTAGGCTGTCAACAACTGTGGAAGATACCCCTATTCTTCCCGGGCATTACTTAATACCTGCAAGTGACGACAGTTTTCTTTATCAGACCAACATCAAACTAAGTAGATCAGACTAACACCAAACTCCTTTTTAGAAACAAAAAATCGAAAAAAGAATAAGTGAAATCGAAATCGAAAATTGAAATTGAAACTCATTTACGTAATAAACATTTGCATAAGAATGAGATGATTTTGGTCAGCAAGTTAGGAGGAGAGGAATCCATCAAAATTAACAATCTTTGCTGATGATATGGTAGTTGGATCTCTCACTACATCTACCAACGAAGAGCAGAAATGTTGAATAAGGATTCATGTAGCCAACTCGAAATAAGGATTCAGTAATTTTGATGCATATTAATCAACAAGACAATCCTGAAATCGAAAAATAAACAAAACCCAG